TCCCAGCACTCGAGAGGCAGAGGCAGGCGGATCTCTGTGAGTTCGAGACCAGCCTGGTCTACAGAGCTAGTTCCAGGACAGGCTCCAAAGCCACAGAGAAACCCTGTCTCGAAAGAAAAAATAAATAAATAAATAAATCTTGTTTTAAAAAATTTGCAAGCAAAATATAGATATATAGAGATAGGTAGATGGATGGATGGATGAATGCTTAGGTAGATAGATATGTATTACTATATAAATATACATTTATTACTATAATTGTCAAATAATACAGAAATAAAGCTAGAATGAGTTCCCTCATCTGGAATAATCATCTTTGTCGTTGCTATAATCATCATTTTATATACAAAAATAATTTGAAATAATATATGTATAGTTGTTTTGGTTTAGGGTTTATACAAGGGTGGCTTTTTTGAAACAGAATCTCATGTATAGCCCTGGCTTGTCTAGAACTCACAGAGATCCACCTGCCTCTGCCTCCTGAGTCCTAGGATTAAAGGTGTGTGCCGCCACTCCCTGGCTGGACTTTGTTTTGTTGTGAAGGTTGAATCCAGGTCCTACACTTTCTGAGCATCACTCTAACCCAGAGGTAATCCTTTAGGTTCTATAGATAGTGTTTAAGTAATTTTTTACATCATCTTAGAAATATTTTCATGGCACTCCATAGCTGCTAGAACTTCCCTTTCACTTTGAATGTGAAGCACACTGTGGTACAAAAGTTTCTTGAACTGCACAGTGGTGGTACACACGCCTTTAATTCCAGCACATGGGAAGCAGAAGCGGATGGATCTCTGTGATACCAGGCCAGGCCAGCCTGGTCTACAGAGTGAGTTCTAGGACACCAGGGTTACACAGAGAAACCTTGTCTTGAAAAACCAAAAAATAGTTTCTTGAATAGGGTTGCTGTTTTTCTTTTCCTCTTTTATTCTTGGACCTAGTTAGTTGTATTTTTGTCTTGATCATGTTAAGAGTGTTTATCTTCTGTAACCACAAGGTTGGGAAGTGATAGAGTCTATATTCCAACCCAGATCTTTTAACTTCAAAACCAGTTATTTTTCTACTTCCTTTCTCTCTGAATTTTAGAATCTTTACTGTAAATGAAAATAAAAATAGCTGTTTTGCTTGCTTCAATTTAAAGATGGTCATCACCTCAGGTGATTATTGCGCAGTCTTATGCGCAGTATTATGCGCAGTCTTACATGCTAACTAAAACACAGTAATGATGAGTGACTATGTGCTGGTTCTCCTGTAGTGGGGTTATGCCCTGTAAACCTGTGTGCACTGAGAATATTGTAAATCAAAATATATTCAGGACACTTAACCAACCACACATCCTAGCTTGTGCACTGTGAAGGACCCGCTGCTTGAAGTTATGAACTCATGACTGCTGGAGCTGTGCCCACTGCTGCTCCCTGTCATGAGACTATCATGAAACATATAACTAGTCAAAATGTAAACTATAATTTTTTCTGAGTGCATATGGCTTTTACGTTATATGTTGCAGATTATCTGTGTGTTTATTCAGATTTCTGAATTTTTCTGAGAGAACGATATTAATCTCGTAGTTCAGTGATTTGGTTTGGAAGCTATAGGAATAAATGCAGAATATTACATGCTAAGTTCAAGCATAATTCAGTTTACTCCAAGGTTTGAACTTGAAAACAGTGCCCTCTCTATTTCATTTTTTATCTAGTTTTAGTGTAAAAAGTGGTAATTAAGGGAGTAGGACTCTCTGGATGAAAGACGACTCCTTTCCTTCACTCTAAAGCACCCTTCCTAACAGAGATGGAGTGCTGGGTGATGTTCTGGTTTTCTGCCTATCATTTCCTCTGACTCTTACTTCACTTTTCATTCCTCTCATGGCTGTGGGCATGCAACTCTTACAAAATTTATTTTTATTTTAAATTCAATGGATGTCATTTCCACAGATTTATTCCATATATTCTGCTTCTAATGTGGCAGATGAGTAAGAGAGAGACTCCTGGTAGAATAGCAATGACTTGATTTTCTGTGATTCTCGCCATTATTAAAGTGGACTACCAGTGTAAGCCAAGAGAGAATATGGTATAATTGCTTGCCTAAAGTGATAAAACCCGTCTTGTGTGTCCCTGAATATCAATGAAGGAGGAAGATTTAAGGGAGAAACATTTTTTATTTGGGATGTGTTAAAGATCAAAAATGAGACCAAAATTTAGTACATGTTCATCATTGAAGTCTGTGAAGTAAAATATCATTTATTTTGAAATCTTATGTAAGAATATTTGTTTATCTTAAAGGTCAGTAAAATCTCCATGTGTGTCTCATAGAAACTCCATAGAATAATTGAACTTAGAAAGAGGGAGGTACCTGAACCATTGTACCAGCTTTAAGGATTGTACTATGAAGACAAAATAAAATATAAAAATGCAGGAAAATTAGCACACTGTATTTTGTTTCACTGTTAATTCCTTTTCCTTTGACAATAATGCATATTTGATTATTTCTTCAGAAATTAATAAAAAACATCAGCTTTCAGTAAAAGACTCAGTAGTACCTATACTCACTTGATAAGCACCAATTTGTGACCTACCTGTTAGTCTGTGTGCAAATCCTCACTAGCAAACTAATTAATAGATTATTATTGGAAAAATTGAAGTAATATTTGTAGAGTATAAGGCTTATCATAAACATTTTATTTGATAAGTTACTATTATATTTATTAACAAGTTGTTTATCTTTTAATCTCTATGTTCATCTTGTTTTTGAAATATGAAGAGTGGGTTTCATTCCATTCCTGAATTTGCTTTACTTTTTGGAAACCTTGATAGATGAATTGTGAGCATGTTTTAATGCATTCATGAAACAGATAACTACTACTAGTTGCCTGACCTCTGAACAAATCCAAGTATACCTAGATAATTAATAATGTGTTAGACACTTAAAATTCCTATTTAGTGTTCTAATGTAAATATTCAGATCAGTATGCTTTTGAAAAAGAGAACTTTTATGACTATAATTTAAACCTGAAAATTAGTTTCTGTCCAAGCAGAGCTTTTCTGCTCTTTTTTTGGATGGGTCGATCAGAATCACTTGCCTTTCCTTCCTCCTGCCTGTCTAAAAGAAGCTAAACAAGGGTTTATTCACTAAACAGCTAGCTCTTGGTGAGTAGAGATTGGGGACACTGGTTTTAGTGTTTGTTGATTTCTATGATGTAAATTTTTCTGTCAGACCTAATTTTAGGCTCCTAATGTTGAATGTAGAGTTGAGAAAAGATGTGCAGTGTTTTCATCATGCAGAAAGAATGTATACAATCTCGGAAGGGTAGAAAAGAACAAGGTTTAGCATTTAGGATTTGAAGTGATGAATCCCAGGTGTTTATTACTTTAATATTGCTAATTATGTCTATGTGACTTAATGTTTAATAATGATTGTTTCAGCAAACAGTATGTATCTCATGAGCTGATAGATACTAATTCTGGCTATCCTGGACCTTTAAGGTATCAGATTTTTTTTTCTAACTATGCAATTCTGGTGTTAGTAAATGTCTAAGCATTTAGTTTTCTAAAATACAGAGCTGATCCTAAGGCCCAGGAAGCCATTCTGCAGTCAAGTCCTACATATCTTTTCCAATGTCATTCCAGGTTGTTACAAACTGTCTTATGTTCTGTGTCCTCTGCCCTAGATGTAGATGACTTGTAATTTTTTAAGCATAGCACACTTTCCTACCCCAAACCTTTTCAAAGGTGTCTTCAACTGGGCAATGGTGGCACATGCCTTTAATCCCAGCACTCGGGAGGCAGAGGCAGACGGATCTCTGTGAGTTCGAGGCCAACCTGGTCTACAAGTGCAATTTCAGGAAAACTAGGACAATAACACAGAGAAACCCTGTCTGGGGGGGGGGGGGTCTTCAGCCTTGAATGACCTCACTTCATCCACCTGACTTTTGCAATACTGTTTATTTCACTTTCTAGAAATATCACAAATGCTACTGATGCTCGTTTCCTTCTGTGGGAAACTCCCATTCTCCTTGATGTTTTTTCAGTTCCTTGTACTTCATTTGAAGTCAAGTTTACTCTTGTAGCAAATGTCTGTCACTCAGTAGATTGTTAATTACCTTTGGATCATACTGTATTCAGCACATTAATAACTTTAAAGTGATTAATAAATACTTGTTTATTTTAGTAGGACAAATTGTGGAGAGTGCATGCTACAGTCTGAGAAACTGGCCAAACCTTAAAGGATTTTGAAACTAGATCACAGGCACCATTCTTTCTCCCCGACAGTTCCGTACCAGATTGTTATCTCTCAGTGTCATGGGAACTCTGGAACTTACTGAAGGAGAATTTCAGAGAACAAACGAGGCTCTTAAGACCAAATAAGATCAAATTGATTAACTATGTTTACAAATTATTTTATTCTGTTTTAATGTGCTTTATGGTGTTCTCAGAATAAAACCAAAAGTATTGTTTATCAGTATAAAGATAGGTTGGGCCTTTATATTAGTAATGTCCCTATGAAAGAAGCAAAACTAATCAAGCTCTGTGGCTTGAGGGAAACTCATTCTCATAAACATAAAGGGCGAATACCTCATCAGTCTGTTGGGTTCTGGGGCTTTTTTTTTTTTTTTTCTGGAATTGCCTGATTCTCTTCACAGTAAGATTGACGAGATCAAAGTGTGTGAAGGAAATGCTCTAAATCAAAAACAACCCAAGATTTCATTTTTCTATCTTTTACCCTAAGCTGCCACCTAATGGCAGAAGTTTAAATGACATGTTTATAAAATCCAAAGAGTACATTGAGATGTTATAGATTCATTATAGATCCTTACTCCTTAATAAACATTTGTATAATTTTGGACCTCAGAGAAGTCGTATTTATTACTAACCTTTGTTAGGTGATACTTTTGCTAAGGATGTTTGTTTTAAAAGTTGGATTTCTCTTATGGGACACTATAAAGCATCTGTTTTTTGGTTCAGTTTAGTCACTTTATCTTGTCCTTTTTGCTTCTCCTCTTCCTGCAGAACGACGGCACTCAGACACTGAGGTGTTCTTTTACCTGTGGATTGTCTTCTATGTCATCAGCTCCTGCTATACCCTCATTTGGGATCTCAAGATGGACTGGGGTCTCTTTGATAAGAACGCAGGAGAAAACACTTTTCTCCGGGAAGAAATCGTATACCCCCAAAAGGTATGTATGGAATGTTCACACTTAAGGGAAAGAGTTTAAAAAAAACTTAGCTATATCAGTAGTTAGATCATACAGCAATATTGACTCAAAGTTCTAATTATAATAACCTAAAAATGATTTAAAAAATAATTAATGACTTGTAATTTTTTAAGCATAGCACACTTTCCTACCCCAAGCCTTTTCAAAGGTGTCTTCAACTGGGCAATGGTGGCACACGCCTTTAATCCCAGCACTTGGGAGGCAGAAGCAGACGATCTCTGTGAGTTCGAGGCCCACCTGGTCTACAAGAGCAATTTCAGGACAACTAGGACAATAACACAGAGAAACCCTGTCTGGGGATTAATCCCAGCACTTGGGAGGCAAAGGCAGGTGGATCTCTGTGAGTTCAAGCCAAGCCTGGTCTACAGATGAGTTTCAAGACAGCTAAGATGGTAACACAGAGAAAGCCTGTCTCAAAAAAAAAAAAAAAAAAAAAGTCCAAGATACCAACCCAGTCCACAAAAAAATTTATCATGTTTGCCATGTGGTAGATGCTGTGGGAATGTAAGCAGATAAGCAAATGGCAATGCTATGTCCTAACTAGTGGAGAGGGCGACTTGCTGAGAAGCCTCTATTTTCTTAACATATCTGGTGCTTGGGTGTTCATGTTCCTCACTGCTCAGAATAATTCTTGTAGACTTGGTGTGCACCAAATGAGTAGCTGCATACTAAAAAAGCAACTTTATGAACACCCATGGGGAAAAGACTGCCAAAGTTCTCAGATCCTTTTGTCTATGCAATGAGTACTTGTTAGTGCCAGCCCAACTGGGAGAAGAGTTCTATAGGAATCATTTTAGTGTTTTACCGGCATATTAGAATAAAGGGAATGAGAAGCTGAATTTCAAATAAAAAAATTGTCTTTAGGGACTGGAGAGATGGCTCAGAGGTTAAGAGCATTGCCTGCTCTTCCAAAGGTCCTGAGTTCAATTCCCAGCAACCACATGGTGGCTCACAACCATCTGTAATGGGGTCTGATGCCCTCTTCTGGCCTGCAGACATACACACAGAATATTGTATACATAATAAATAAATAAATAAATAAATAAATAAATAAATAAATAAATTTTTTTTTAAATTGTCTTTATACAGATGCTTTGGTACCATGAGTGATTAGACCTTGAAAAAATTGAACAATGAGCTGGGAATCTGGGTATGTGTATTACAATCCCAGCTGTATTACTAACTAAGCTGTTCAGTCAGCCAGACTGAAGGGGTGTAGACTACATTAGCCCTTGATATATTCTCAGGCCTAAAGTTCTGTTATGGATAACATATAATTCAATACCCAAATGTTGCCATTACATCAAATCTATATTTTGAAAAGTGTGTGATTGTATAGTATGGAGTAGAGAACAGAGAAGTTTGTGACTAAGTCATTAAACATTTTTTATAATTCTTAATTAAAAGGAAAATGAACGGGTTGGGGCCAGGCAGTAGCATGCTGGTAAAGCACTAGCAGGAGCAATATACAGATTAATCCCTAATGCCATTTTAAAAAAGAAAAGAGGACCAGTAATCGGAATAGTCATGAATTCAGTTAAAGCTACTTTTATGTTCACCATGTGTGTGTTTTTTATTACTGCGTGTGGTGTTTGGTGAACTCTGCACATATTTGTTACTTACGCTGATTGCTTCAGTTCATTGTATCTTTACATAAATGTTAGGCTGTTTTCGATTTAAATGGGTTCTGATTTACTGTTTCCTTTGTAATGAAATTAGTGGGTAGAATCTTTCGATTAGTTTGTTATATATTTTAATGCTATAAAAAATAAAGTATAAATTTTCTTAAATTTTAGTTGCAAATTTATAAGGAAAAAGTGAGGAAACTATTTGTGAAGTCCAGTGAACCTTCATTATAAAATCCTGTCACAGTCTTCATAAGAATTCTGCCTGCTTTCTCACATGTGGGGAACCTACATTGTGGGGGGTGTTTTATGAAACTGGAAAGGGGACCGTGAGAAGGTTAAAAAAAGACCTTAAAGGAAGGCGGGAGATGGGAATGATGGCACACGTGTGACATGCAAATAAAAGTGGAGCTATTGTTGAGGGGAAGGGGGAGATGGGGCAAAGAGATGGGGCAGGGGTGAATACAATTAAAGGCTGAAAATACCCTACTGAAGCTTATTGCTTATTGTGTGCTTGCTTAAAATTTTAATTTAAAAACTAATCAGTTAGCCAGGCCGTGTGGTGGCGCACGCCTTTAATCCCAGCACTCGGGAGGCCGAGGCAGGCAGATCTCTGTGAGTTCAAGGCCAGCCTGGTCTACAAAAGCTAGTTCCAGGACTGGCTCCAAAGCTACAGAGAAACCCTGTCTCCACAAAAAAAAAAAAAAAAAAAAAAAAAAAAAAAAAAAAAAAAAAAAAAAAAAAAAAAAAAAAAAAAAAAAAAAAAAAAAAACAACTAATCAGTTAGTGGATAATGGAATGGATAGTTACAAATGTCTGTCTCTGGGGAATAGAAGAGAAGAAGTACAGGGATCGATTGTCAGTTCCTGTTAATAGTCCTCTGATGGTGACTCATACGCTTTGTTAAAAATTAAACAGGCCTGGGAAGGTGGCACAGGGCATAAGAACACTTACTGATCGTGGAGAGGACCTACATTCAGTTCCCAACACTCATGGCCACTCCCAACCACCTGTACCTCCAGTTCCTCTTCTGGTTTCCAGAGGCACAGTACACATACACACTTGCCAGCAAATAAAAGAGCAATACCTTTTAAAGTAAAGTAAATTAATACAGCTTACTACATAGCAGTTCTAGTTACCAAAATGACACAACCTTTAAATACATTTTGAAGTGCAAATTTTGCTTAGTAATAAACAAATCCATGAGTTTTGGGATCTATTGGCAGTTTGTATTTTTAAGACTTTCGGGTAGTTAAACTGAATTAGTTGAATACTATCTCTTATTTTCAGCCGTGTTAGTGAAATATTTATCATTTGGTTTATCAACATAAAAAAACAAGACAAAACTTGTATTACATATGGGATAAAGAAATTTGAAATTTTAAATACAAATTGTACAATTAATAAATCTGCTAATATCCTTTAGTACTAGTGACTTAGTCATCATCTTCCCATGCTTCTCCTAGAATACAATCTCATTTAATTTACAAGAGAGGCTCATGTACAGTGTGGACATTAACTGTATTTGTTAACTGATTTCTGAAACTCAGTACTACATCATCATCTTAAATTTTTGCACTATTTAGAGAAACTAAAATCTATGTAATGTTTCCCCATTTATCTGTTGGTGGGCTATCTGTGAGTCTCAACAGCTGATGTGGGGGTACTTTGTAAGAAGAGTGTTGAGAAATATACACTATTTGCTTGTATTTCTTAGGCTTATTACTACTGTGCCATCATAGAAGATGTGATACTGCGCTTTGCTTGGACTATCCAAATCTCTATTACTGCTACGACTTTCCAGCCTCATGTTGGGGACATCATTGCTACTGTCTTTGCCCCCCTTGAGGTTTTCCGGTAAGCAAACTATCGAAAATTTATCAAGGATTCTTTTAAAAGATGCCCAGTACTGGGCCAGCAAGCTGACTCAGCAGGTAAGGTACTTACTACTACCCTGTCTGATGATCTGAGTTCAGTTCTGGGACCCAGATAGTAGAAGAAAGTTGTCCTTGACCTCCACACATGAGCTATGGCCTTCACGTCCACACAAAAACAAAGACGACAATTAGATGTAATAAAAACTTTGTTTGGGCATGGGGTAGTGCACACTTTAATCCAAGCACTCAGGAGGCAGAAGCAAGTATATTCTTGTGAGTTCAGGGCCAGCCTAGTTTGTATATAGAGTTCTAGACCAGCCAGAGATACATATGAGACTCTGTCTCAAAAATAATAATTATAATTATTATTATTAAAAATAAAAAAATTATAGGTTTAAAAATGGCAATTGTTTAGAAATGAACCAAAACATGTTTGTGCTGTCACTGTTGACTGTGAAAGAGAACCAACAGGCACAGCGTGGAAAGGACGGTTTCAGAGAAACCTGAATTTATGGCAGGGGTGGCAGGACAAGGCATGGTGACGTAGCATGTGCCGAAGACTTGTCCATCACAGTGCACCAGGAACCAGAAGGTGGAGGTCAGAACTAGGGGCAAATGTAAATTTCAGAGATCCCAGGGATCTTCTCTGGCCAGGGCCCCAACTCCTACATGTTCCACAGCCTTCAAAGTAATACTGGAAAGACGCAGCACATGTGCCTTTGGGGACATTTCAGACTCAAACCATTGTGATGTCTAATGCCTTGGAGTCAAAGTTAAAATTGTAACAAAATGTTAAGATATTTTAATAGACTGAAATTGAAAGTAGTAGCAAAAAAGTAAAAATGCAACTAAAAAGCCACTGCAAAAAATCAAAAATAAATGTATTAGAAAAGTAGAAAACTTAAGAAATTAGAAAAAAATTAAAGCTTCAAATCAAACCTAAAAGAAAGAAACATATAGACTAGAAATTATCAGGATAGAAAACAGATGCGCAGTGGAAAATATTAAAAACAGAATTTTTAAAAGAATAATAATTGATGAAGTGCTTACATAAGACTAATCCAGAGAAAAAGGGAGGAAGGACAAACCCTAAAGAAGGCTAGGATGTGGTTAAGAGGCAGAGTTTGACCAGCGTACGCAACGCTCTGCATCCCATCTCTGAACAGGAGGAAGTTCTGAAAGTTTTTAAAGAGATGTAAGTGCCATTAAATGAGATAGTCAAATTCCTCAAAATATCATAATCAATAAGAAAATAGAAAATCTGAGAAATCTGTATCTTTCAAAAACATCAACATTTAAATCAATATCAAAATAGTTTTCATGAAGAAAACTCCAGATCCAGAAATTCTAATATTTGAAGTCAAAATTTTTGTTTTTTACAAAACACTTTAAAAGAAAGGGACAAATAAGGACTATGAGGCCAGCATGACGGTCATCTGAACCTCCAAGGATATCCCTGTGCCTCACTGTTGCCTTGCTGCATAGTTGCAGAAAACCTGAACACAGCATTAGCCATTGAGTTCAGTAGCATCTGAAAAGGTTAATACTTCAAAATTTAGGATCATTCTGTGAATTAAGGTTTAATATTGGTCTTAGTTACTGTTCTGTTACTGTGAAGAGATACCATGGCCCATGCAACTGATAAGAGGAAGCATTCAATTGGAGCTTCGTTTCAGAGGGTCAGTATGTGATCAGCCTGGCAGGAAGCATGGCAGCAGGCAGGCATGGTACAAAAGCAGTAACTAAGAGCTATATCTTGATCTGCAAGCAGTGAGCAGAGAAATTAAGACTGGTTCTGCTCATAGGCTTTGAAAACCTCAAAGCCTATCCCCAGTGACATACCTTTTCTACAAGGCCATTCCTCCTAATTCTTCTTAAACAGGTCCACCAATTAGGGACCAAGCAGTCAAATATATGAACCTATGGGGGCCATTCTTATTCAGACTATCACATGTTCAAAAATTAATTCATGTCATTTAACTCAATAAGAGAATAAGAGGGAGGAGCCTGTGACATGTGGGAACTGCCATTGTTAACAATACCTGGTTGAGCAAAGGAGTATGTAATTTATAGTTGTAGCTGTTTTTTGTTGGTGGTTTTGGTTTGTTTTTTTTTTGTTTGTTTGGGGGTTTGTTTTTGTCTTTTTGTTTTTTGTTATTGTTTGTTTTTTTTTTTGTTTGTTTGTTTTTTAAGACAGTCTTTCTGTGTAGCTTTGGAGCCTGTCCTGAAACTCACTTTGTAGACCAAACTGGCCTTGAACTCACAGAGACCTGCCTGCCTCTGCCTCCCAAGTACTGGGATTAAAGGCGTGCACCACCTCCGCCCAACTAGTTGTAGCTGATTTAAAGGCTGAGGCAGGAAGACTGTTGGAGGTCAGGCTGGGCAACATAGCCAAAGCCTATTTCAAAACCAAACAAACAAAAATTTCAGAAACTTAAAAATTGATACTTGTTTCTGAAAAAAAAATTAAAAAAACAATGTAAGATCATAAAGTACATAAACACAATGTGGCCAGAGTGATGTCTGCTGTCGACAGTTATATTTACTGTCATAATGCTGCAAGTGTGGGTAGTACAGTGAGGAGGGTTCTAAAGAACTTAATCCATGTCCTTTAATAATGCCAAGTACATTAAAACACCCAGATGTCAATCTAAGGAGAGATTGGTGTATGGGTGAAAGTTGACAAGCCAATTCTATAGTGACGCAAGTGTGTGCGTGTGTGCGTGTGTGTGTGTTTCAGATGGAGTATCACTTAAGTTACCTAGGCTGGCTTCCAGTTCCCTGCTGCCTCCCTCCCAAGTGCTGGGATTACACCTATATGCCAAACATGCCTAATAGCTTTGTAATTTATATAGGAACACAAAGAATAACCAAGACTATTCTAAAAAGAACTAGAGTAATGTTCTAAGTTGAAGACTGGTCATACAGAGAGAACAAGGCTGTGCACCGTGTTAGTAAGGGGTTAGACAAGAGGCTCCCCTGGAACAGAGTGGGGCATCTAGAGACAGATCCATAATCATGACACCACCTGCTGATAAATATAGCTGCCTAACAGTGAAGAGAGGACATAACACATGTGTCAGAGCTGGAGAGATGGCTCCAGTGGCTAAGAGCACTGACTGCTCTTCAAGAGGACCTGGGTTCAATTCCAATACCCACATGGCAACTCACACCTGTCTGTAACTCCAATACCAGGGACCCAATACCCATGGCAAAACACCAATGCATTTAAAATAAATTTTAAAAAGAAGAATATAAGAATAAAAGGGCTTAAAGATAAAAAAAGAAGTCAAAGTATTTTAAAATAAAATAAGAAATTTTTTAAAATAAATAAAACATGAGTCAGCTGACTATATAGAAAATAAATCTTGCCGCCTGTCACATTCATTATGCAGAATCAGTTACAGGGAGGTTACCGAGCTAAATAGGAGTAGCACATAAGCTCTCTAAGTGTTGGTAAGGAGCCCTAGAGGTGACATTCAGGGTAGTAATATATTTCATACTTCAGGATATCGGATATGCAGTGTATTTTTGTATACTAGCCAAGCTATATACTAACATGCAAACTTTGAGGTGTATGTGATATGCTTGTTTTGAATTACATACTTATGATTATCTTGTGTACATGTGTGTGTGTGTGTGGATGCGTGTGTGTCATGCACATGTGGAGGTCAGAGGACAGCTTATAGAAATTGGCTCTCTCCTTCATTTGGGTCCCAGTGACGGCACTCGAATCCTTTGGCTTGGCAGCAGGCACCTGCTGAGCCATCTCACTGGCCTACATTTACTTCATTTTTAAGTAACCTTAGAGAAATAAGTGGCAGTTGGACTGACAGATAACTCCTCAACAGTAACAGTGAAAGTCAAAAAGCATGTCTTAAATGTGCTGGGGAAAAGTGAAGGCCTCCCTCCCTTCAACTCTTCATCCATGAAGATAGTTTGCACAAAAGAGAAGATAAAAAGACACTTTTAGAAAGGTGTGTGGTGTTCTTGTGAGCCAGGAAGGACAAACATAGCCTGATAAATAACATAGGATTAGAAACAAAGCTAGCCCTGAAAGGCAAATGAGGCCTCTGGACAAAGTGTGCTTGTTTGTGGGTGCCACTGACCCCTCTGGACCATCGCCCCCTCTTCATTTCCCTAAACATCTATATGTGAGGCCCAAGCCCTCCAAAGTAACTACTCCCTGCACTTGACTGTCTCTGCTCTCCTTTCTCTCTGTTCTTCCTTTCAACCCTTGTATTTGTTCCCAACACAGGAATTGGGCCACTTTTAAAAACTACTTATGCATATGCATGTGAGTATAAGCCTAAACATGCCATTCTCACTGTGAGTGTAGAGGGCAGAGTGAAACTCAGTAGTCAGTTCTCTCCTGCCGCCTTGTGGAAGTCCAGCATCAAACTCAGTTTAGCAGGCTTGTCCTCAAGCACCTTTACCTGCTGAGCATTCTCACTGACCCTCAACCTAATCCATTTTTAAATAATCTGTAATAAGAATTATATACCAAGTACTCTGCAGTACCAATTCTACTTCTATCACTGTCCCTCGGCCTGCATAGCCAGGGTGACATTTCAGTGTTACACCATTTCCTGGTAACAGAGAAGCATAGGCAGAGAAACTCATCCATCGTCTTTATAGCTAGTAGTGGTGGAGCCACGATTAGAACGTAGACAGTCTTCTAGAGTTGAAGCTCCCAGATTATGCTGTTTTGAAGTCTTGCCTTTGATCCTCTGTACTTATCTTTTATCTCCCAGAAGAGCCCTGTCCTCACTCGGCTTCTCAGAATCTATGTTTTCCATTCCACCTTTTGTTTGAGACAGGGTCTCAAATCAACCTGGAAGTAGGCTGGGCTGGCTCTTCTGGTCCAGTACAGATCCACCTGTCTCTGCTTCCCATCTTGCCCTTGCTGGAGTTCTGAATGTGCATTACCGTGCCTGGCTTGTTGCATGGGTTCTAGGTTTCCACACTCACGTTCTTGTGCTGGTGAGACAAGTGCTTCACTAACTGAATCATCATCTCCCTAGCCCTCTGATTTTAATATTCTGGCCTGTCAGTGAGTAGGAACTTGAATCTCCTGAAAGTTTACAGGAGGTAATATTTTCAGATCTTCACTTGAATGCATCCACCCCATTTTGCTTAGGCGATTTGTATGGAACTTCTTCCGCCTGGAGAACGAGCATCTGAATAACTGTGGTGAATTTCGTGCCGTGCGGGACATCTCTGTGGCCCCCCTGAATGCAGATGATCAGACACTCCTTGAGCAGATGATGGACCAGGAAGATGGGGTGCGAAACCGCCAGAAGAATCGGTCATGGAAGTACAACCAGAGCATATCCCTGCGCCGGCCTCGCCTCGCGTCCCAGTACGTATAGCCACCACTTCTGAGTAGAGTACTTCTTTGGTCTTTAAGATCACGTAACATTAGCTAACAAGCCCTAGACTGAACCAGATGAAGTTGCTGATACTCGGCCATGCATCCTCTCCAGGCAGTAGTTGTAACCAGCCACTCCATATGATCAACTTCTGGAATGTGTCCTGGGTAATGAAATTTAGAACAGATAGCAGACTGGAATGAAGGAGACTGAAGCTGAGCAGTTTTCTAAAGATAGGGGGTGTTTAGGTAATACTATGAGTGGAAATGAAGGGTAGAAAGGAAAAGCATGTGTCCAGAACTGAAGTGAGAAAATATAATTGGGAGCACTCACTTGAACTGTCAAAGACAGGCCAGGCATTTAGACAGTGGAAGCAGGAGGATCAGTTCATGCTTATCCTTGGCTGCATGGCAAGCTCAAGACTAGACCTGACTCAAAAAAACAAAACCAATAACGAGACTGAAAACTGCAAGCTTCATCTTGTAGACAAGAAAGAAGCATGTTCTTCCCGAGGAGTGATGTGGAAGGAGATTTTAATGACACTGCACAATGTGGTAGGAAGTTGGGGCAGTAAAGACCTGGATTGGGATCTTAACGTCGGACTAGAAGGGACATGAAGGACAGGAGCAGAAGGAGCTGCTGAGCACAGGAAAAGTAGACTAAGTCCTGCCAAGCTTTAGCTAGAGACTGGAAAGGGGAGAGAAGAGAGGAAGCAGGAAGCTGAGTCTTGGGCAGAAGGAAGAGCAAAGAAGCAGAAGTCAGCAGGGAAGTCAGCCAGGCTTCTGCTAAGGAAGGCTTTGCAGACTGGGACTTGGGGGACTGAGTAGGTAAGAGAGGGGCCTCAGAGCTGAAGGAAATGTTGGTGGCCTAGAGCTCCTTGCTGTGAAGGTTTCAGAGCTACCAGCAGAGGGCAGTCTAAACACACTTTGTTTCAGAAATGGGGCTCTTAGGCCCCGGATTATGTTGACTTCAGGTGTTTACCGGGAAACAAATGGCAACCAAAGGTAGAGGTTTATGGTACAGAAAGTGTGGGGAACCTAGAGACCTGATTCTGAGTTCTGACGCTATGATTCAAGCAGCTGTGGTACATCATCAGCCTTCTGAATGCCAGCTTCCCCATCTGCTACATGGGAGTAACCGTCTCCTTTCACAGACACTACCTTCACACTTGGGCGAACGAGTTGCAGGACATTTTCATGTTACTTCATCCCATTTCACACAGTACAAGAGTCTCTGCACAGAGTCCTAAGAAACCGATCATTTTGTGCCAATTGGCAATCAGCAGTGGTAACCGTTTAACTGAGGCACCTGCATTGTATTGGGTAGCCGGTACTCAAACTCCTGTCTTTGTTTTTGAGGGCTACTCTGATGTTTAAACATAACCCACTGTTGTTCCTGCTTGTCCACCTTCTGCAGTAGATAGTTCCTGTTTAGGATGAGCACTGTTACATGTTTATTTCCTCTGATTACCCTAGATCCAAGACTCGAGACACTAAGGTATTGATAGAAGATACAGACGACGAAGCTAACACTTGAATTCTCTGAAGTCTCGATTAACATCCGTGGTTTCCTACTCTACAATTCTTCCCTTGACCAACGCAACCTCCAGCACCTTTTTCCAGCTGAGAACAGGAGAAAACAGAACACGTTCCCGGGCTCTTCAGATCGGGTCCTATGGACTCGAGCAAGCTCACTGTGTTTCTTTTCTTTTCTTCTGGTTTAATCTTCATTTTCTATTTTTAAAACAAAAACTTCATTTTGCCAATCAGAGGATGTTTTAAGGAACAAAAACCTAATATCTTATGGATTGTTTACAATCACAAAGACACAGATGCCCATCAGGATGAAGAACAGGCATTGGAAGGAGGCCTCTGATGGACGGCATGGACGTAACTCAGCTTCTGCCTAGCCCGGTTTTGACTGTTTGAAACCGGACACTGGTTTTTAAATTTTCTGTCAGTTTCTGTGGAGAGTTTTTTCCCTTCCCTCCTAGCCAGCATAGAGCCACTGGCAGCACTTGCAGGGAAAGTGCAGCTTGGAACAGCACCCTCCTCCACGAAGCTACTTTTTAATTTGATGTGGGTTTTCTCATTTGGGGAGGGTTTTGGGTGGGCAGGGAATATGATGTATTCGTTACATATGGTCTTCTCATTATTTATGAAACTTAACCATACGTGAATGATACTACTCCTATGAAGGGAGGCAGGAGGAACTAAGGGTAGATGGTATTTGGGAGGGTCAAGCCCACATACCTTTTCCAGGAAACAGTTTGTACCAGTTTGTACTTTTCCTCTTTCGTTTAATTTTAAGCCAAAGTTTTATTGCTAAATTTTAAGTTGCTGCTCTAGAGTCCCAAGTGTCACTGTCATGACCTGGCATCCACTTGCTTCCCACTGGTAGACATTCAGAGCAAAGGCTCTGATACTTGTGTCTTTAGGAACAGGTGCAGGATACACTCGCCCATTTACCAGTCCCAATAATGAAGTTCTGCCATCTGCTTCTGCATGTAGGTGAAGCGAGTCTGAGTTCTCCTGGCTGAATAGAAAGGCAGGCCTAATTTCACTCTTCACACCCTTATTAAATAATTCCCCTTCTTGTCTCATCTACTTTACCCAGAATTTGATCAAACTAAAAGTCTTTGGTGGGGGCTGTACTTTTGAGCATGTAGAACAAATCCTTCATCCTTCAAATTACATTGACAGAGAAGACCTTGGCAGCCATTTTTAAGGCCAGCAGTATTAAAAAGTGAATGTTGGATTTTATGACCTCCCATGATAGAACCCTTTTTAATTTGGGGCCTCTAAACCTGGCCATACTTTTAAAACTATATTTCTTAGAAATTTCAGGCTATAAATATACATTTTTATTTCTTTATCTCATCCCATCTTCCTAAATTCTCTAGAGAAACCTAAAAACATACATTTGACTTTCTTGAAATGGTATCAAATTTACTATTCTTCAGGACTAGGGGTATAGATCATTGATAGCAGTGATTGCTTAGCATTCTTGAGACCTTGGGTTTTCTCTCAGCATGGGTGGGGAGGAGAACCACTCTTTAATAAAATTAATATAAATACTAGGAAAAGGTAAGGTCAGCTTTAGTGCCCCCACCCCTGGGATCTAGGAGAGCCATCAGAATCCATTCACTTATGCCTTTTCCACATTAACTTCAGACAGAGAACTAATGACTAGGAAGACGGCCATCAACACTTGCTTTGTTTTAAAAGTTGGCTGCTGCCCTTTAAGCTTCCTTTTGTCATGAGCCCTGCCTGTGCATCATAACCGTCCCTTGTTAAAGTTCCTGCACTACTAAAATTCCACCTATTAACTCATCAACTTCCTTCTAGAAAGGGTTTCTTTCATTTTTATTCTGACAGAGTTCCAATTTTTTTTCTTCTTTCAGAATTGAGATTTTAACACATACATTCATATCCCCGCAAGTACATACAGTGTTGTAGGTTCTCTTGCTTTTTGTTATGCCAAGCATGTCCCTTGCCCCAAAACTAAAGAAGAAACATTTATTTTTAAAAAGCAAATTTTAAATAAATTGTATACTTTATAATAATCAGTGGTAACAATTTAGAGACCCTTTGTAAATTAAAGGTTGCATTATTTCTATTTAGAATTTTTTTTTTCCTAACCTAGGTTTTTATACTTTAAAGCAGGTGATCGATCTCACTGGTCTCTGAGGTAACATCAGCAAGTACTAAGACTCTATAGAAAAGTCCAGTGACTTATGATTTCTTGTACAATAAAGTCAGTGGGACTGTGTATCCAGAGCCACATGAATTGGCAGCTTCTTTCTCTGGTAGTCAGTCTGTGTGACGTGCAGAAACTCACACAGTTGACTTCCACCGTTCCAACTCCTTGATGTTTTCACGTCAGTCACGTCAGTTAACATGTGGCCAGCTTGGTCTTTCTCCACCTGTTAGGATCCAGGCCCTAATCAGTATTATTTCTTTCATAAATAATGCAGAGATAGAGTGTATTCATTTTTGGTGTTTGTCCTGTTGCCTACTCAAAGTAAGGCTTACATGCTCTCCAGCTTACCACGGCAGATGCCCAGTACTTTCTTACACACTCCAGCTTCATCTCCCTGGCTCTAAAGAGATTACTTCATCCAACGAATTTGGGAAACCAAGTGTGCATTTCAGTTTTTCCTTTCGAAAAGGCGATGTGCATTTTTCTCTCCTTGATGCCATCTGGCCTAAGCACTGTCAGCAGTGTGTCCTGCTATTGTTCAGTTGCATAATCCTGTACCCTGAAACTCCTGATGGAAATCTTAGAAGTGAATCCACACCACAGTCATGTTACAGACTAGTCCTTAATTTTAGTTTTGTTTGAAAAGGACTCCATTTTTAACAGTGCTTAAAATACTCTCAAAAGGAATGAAATAAAGAATAAAGTCTGTTTTCCATTTTATACAATGTAGGAAGCAAAGGAGTACAAAGAGCTATTAGCGGTTTGTTCTTAACAAATGAATGCCTATAGCAGAAGCTGCCATGGCGTGACAATGGATCGTTGATAATGTCCTCTCATACAGAGACAAAGGCATGATCAGAGATGAAGTCATCCAATAGTCACGTGTGTCATGTTGGCTTTTTGTCTCCAGCACCCTATTATTAGAAGACTTCTGAGGTTCGGGGACACAGTGTGAAAGAATGCCAGTAACTCAGCAAGAATCTGGACGAACTCTTAGAGCAGGCCCGACTTGCTAGCCGCGACTCCCAGCATTCCGAATGAGAGCGCTGCTGTTTCAGCAGACTCAGTTCACAGGTGGTATCTTCCCAACATGGCTCCCTAGTTTCTCAATAGATGGACCTAGCGCAAGGCAAGAGTGGAACTGAGCCACACAGACGCACCTTAGCACTGAGTTGGAGATGACAGAGAGGACTTGGGCCTTGGCAGCAGAAACAGGGCACTAGGTAAATCACATGACCTTTCCATCCCTCTGTGCCTCCATTTCCTCTCACTGCATCATTTAAGAATAGTTTTTATACCTAAATTCAATTTTCTGAGGAGTAACTACAGAGATTTCTTATTCTAAGGAAAGAATTTAGAATAACACTGTCTATGACATAGTAAACCCCTGGGATTCTCTGAAGTGATGAAACTATTTCATCGATATGTTTTAGGTTGTCATTTTTTACTAGTCTAATAAAATTTGCCTCCCTCTTAATAGAAACATCTTACTATAAACAGTGTACTCTGGTGTCTAAAATTAAGGTAACTTAGACTAAAAGTTGATCATGTAGAATCTTGATCTCCCTCGACTACAGAAACCATACTTTAATAAACCAGTGTCATTATTGACCAGGTGAAAATCGAAATTTAGATTGAATTTTGAAAACGGTGATCTGTTTTCTACTTGGTCTATTGGTTTTTGCTGGTCATTTGCTTCAACATGAATTTCTGCGGTTCTGCTATCCGTCACGATATTAAATCCTAAAGCTCCCAACTTGCCTATTTCAAGTTTATACAGAACATGTGGTTGTGTGGGGCAGAGCTGGTTCTGTTGTAGCATCCATTTGTGGCGTGCCGTGTGACAAATCAGCCTTGTAGCCCGCATTAACCACACTCTGTTCAATGAATAGTAGCAAAAAGCAAAAGCATCTCCTTAGATTTGAGAGAGCTGAAGTCAGACAGTACAAACATTTTCCTGATGGAGAAGAGGTACTGATGGGTGTGATCCCTGATGCCTTTCTCACATGCTTTCAAAGCCGATACTGAGCTGCCCCCGGAAGCAACTTTCAGAATGTATTTTCTTATGGTGGATGAGGAAGTGAGGGGGACAAGATGAGTTTTCCCTGAAGTGGGGAGAATCCTATCAATTTACAACTGAATGTGTTTCCTTGTAGCAGACCTTTGGTTTATTTTATTAAACCAATGCCAGCTTCAGTTTTGTTTTGTTTTGTTTTGTTTTTGTATGGTGCCATCCACCTAGGAGGACAATCAAATGACCTATTGTTTGCCTTGGATTCGGTGTCTATTGATTCTCATCTTGTATACCTCTGAACTTAATTTCTACCTGGCGCCTATCCATGTGAGCCACCACGAGTCAGAGGGCAGCTAGCAGCACTGCTGGACAGCTGTGGACCTGTGAGAAAGGGCAGGGTCCTGCCTCCCTGTTTCAAATGTTATTCCTGAAGTTCTTGCCTACACTTCTCCCAACATCCTTAGCAAGACTAGTGTGCTCTGGACAGGGAGAAGGAGTTTTTATGATATTGTTATTGTTTGAACTGTTACGGTAAAATTGTAAACCACTCCTGTTTCATCTGCAAAAAGAACAAAACCCATGAAGCTTTATCCCATTGTGAAGACTGGGTTAGCACAGGAGCTTGTACCAGTGAAGAGTAGGACGGAATAGGGTGAAACTTGTTATTTCTCTTTCAAGTCCTCTCTGCTGTGTTACACACACCCCTCCACCCCGCCACACCGTGTTGTCAGATGATGCTGTCCTGTGACTTCTGAGCTATAGTTGTCAAGAGTAACTATGGATTGTGATTAGTCCTCTGTGGGTGACTCTTGCCCCATTTGCTCCCTTGCTTTCTTCCCTACTCTCCACTCTGGTGAATGGAAAAGGTGACGTCAAAGAATCAGTGCTTGCTTGGACTCACGTCGTATCTGTGACTATGCTATTAGCTGTCTCCTTTTTCCTTCTTCTGTGGGTAGAATTCTTATGACCTGTGGAGTTCCCTTCTGGATAAGTAGGTTAAATGCACAATGTGGTACTGTTATATAGTTTCTAGATGGTTAATGTGCTTATGTGTTTTTAAAAGAAAATAAGTGATTGGTTTCAAAACACTGGCCTTTTTCGTTACTATAAGCTCTGTTTTCCAGTAGTTTGCTGACTTGTGTCTGGGGAGTGCTTTGTGTCACTGTGTGCCTTTCTCTCTGGGGGTCTTGGATTCTTGATCATTATTTCCCTTAGTACTAATAAGTATATGGGCCCAACACAAACAGCTTACAATGGTGAATTAGAAAAACAGAATTTGTCAAATTCAAAAACAATTTTTTAAAAAGGCAGGCATAGTCGTCTATGCCTATAATCTCCAGTACTTGGAGGCTAAGGCAGGAGAATTGCTATGAGTTTGAGGCAGTCCCTGGCTGAATAGTGAGTTCCAGGCCACCTGGGAGAGAGAGAGAGAGAGAGAGAGAGAGAGAGAGAGAGAGAGAGAGAGAGAGAGACCCTGCCCCCAAAACTCAAATAATCTTAAATGGCTTTTTTTTTTTTCAAGGTATGGCTCTAAAACAGTGGAATTGATCCAGCAAGTTTTATCTTTTCTTACACAAAGAATCTCAGCTATTAAATGAGACGCTGTGTGTAACTGGATGCTGGACAGCAACACCCTTGTTGCCTCACAGCTCATGCCCAAGGTGGGGAACGCAGCTCTTCCTGCTGGGTCCTGGGTAGAGTAGCACTGATGTCTGACTAGGGGAAGTTAGAAAACTCACTGGCCCCGAGATGAAAAGAGGAAACGGTCTGCTGACTGAGTGGTAGAGCCGGTACCTTCATGTTGTTGCTGCCTCTCCATCTCCTGTTTCTCTGCAGGCGGAGAACTTTATGGTGATGGGGTTTCCTAGCTAGCGGGCTAGGCTGGAAGTGACATGAGCCATCAGAGCCACCCCTTTCCTGTAGCCCATCATTTGTGTGCCTGTGGCCTTCATGCTTGCCAAGTACACAGCACTGCAGTTACATGTGAGCCAGTGGCAGTTTTAATTTTAATTAAGACCCAGAGCAGATAAATCTGTAATCCTACATAATCCCAGAAGCCCAGTGGCTCTTTTTACCAGCACATCCAAAATCCTTGGACTTTCAGCATCTGTATCTTTCTGATTTTTTTTTAATTAAACCTTTTTCAAAGGTTATGAAAATATTAGTTTATCCTTTCTGACTTCCCACTTTCCCCCTTAAAGGCATTGTTTAGTTCTTATATTTTTAAAAATTTACACATTTATTGAGTCCCTGCCATGTACTCAGTCAACATTACTTGGCTTTCACTGAAGTTGGTTTTGTTAACTTTATGAACCTGACATGGTAAAAGTTACTTTTATGAAACCATTAGCAAAATGACCAAGGCTCCTGGGTGTTTGCACCGGAATAAGCTGGATTTTTCTCTCCCAAATCACTGGGGCAATCATTAAAGCCTATCCTGGGTACTTTTCATCCCTTAAAAAACAAAGTGTGGAACAGAACAAGATGGCAGTCAAGATGCTCCAATTACCATCTCCCTACAGACATTGCAAGTTCAGGCACCAAAAACACTACACTCTGGACAGCTAAGGAAATCCAGTCAGAGACCACAGTGCTTAGTTTTAGCATGACAATGAAAAGACAGGCTAAAAGCCCCATGGTGGTGCAAAGCACAAGTCAGAGGTGGGTGTGTGCACCGAACAGTGTGTGATCTACCTTGAGCCAGGGCAGACAGACAAAGAGCATAACCCTCCATGGTCTTGGCTCATGGTAGCCCGGAGAGCTAATTGTTGTGGGATATTTTGATCACGTTCTGATACCTGAGATCGCCCAATAAAGTAATACCTTGAATTGGGACAGAACCAGTGACTAGCTGACCAGAATTGGCCATGGAGAAGCCAGCAATTTAAATAGAGGAGAGGCCCAGGAACGAAAGGGCAGGGACTAAAGTTTGAGCTTGCTTCATTCTGGGATGAGGGAAGAGATGTATCACAGAAAAACATCAACTGTCCAATCTCTTAACAATGACCTCAGCCTTGGAAATGCCAGACAAGGAGTTCAAACTTTGTTCTATTGAAAACCCTTCTCTAGGAGTTTACCACCTGTCTCCTCAGCTTTTCACTTTTCCGTAATTCTCCTTGATAAAGCTGACTCCCGCTCAGTGTCTGCATCGTTAGTCCTTACTGATGTGAGACAATGAACTCAGAGCCACTGTCCCAGGCAGTTTTTAGGGACTGTGAGTGCCCATCATCCTAGCTCCTTGGATCATGAACAACTAAGTCAGTGGTTCTCAGCCTTCCTAATGTGGCAACCCTTGAATACAGTTCCCCATGCTGTTCTGACCCTGACCATAAAATTATTTCTTTACTACTTCATAACTGTAATTTTGCTACTGTTAGAAGTTGTAGCCGGGTGGTGGTGGCGCACATCTTTAATCCCAGCACTTAGGAGACAGAAGCAGGAAGATCTCTGTGAGTTCGAGGCCAGTCTGGTCTACAGAGCTAGTTCCAGGACCACTAGGACTGTTACAAAGAGAAACCCTGTCTCTAAAAGCAAACAAACAAGAAGAAGTTGTAGTGTAAATATCAGTGTTTTCTGATGCTTTTAGGCCACCCCTGTGAAAGCATCCTTCAACCCCATTCCGACCCCAGGGATTGCAACCCACAGGTTGAGAACCACTGAAGTAGAGTCTTACAATCACATGTTAGCTCCCATAAAACAGCATCCATCATAGACAACAAAACAGACAAGTATCCAGTGACTTAGCCCATAGATGTCAGGAAGCCTCTGTCACTGGCCACTCACATTGGCTCAGTAACAGCAGGTCAAAGTGTCTGTCAAACACTTGGATGTAAAGAGGAGACAAGCTATTCATGGGTCAACAGCATGCAGAGTCTATAGAAAAAGATTTATAAATCTTATCACCAAGGTCCAACCAGCCTGGGTACGGCTTTGAAAGCATTTGATCTACTGGCATAGTACTCCATATAATATCACCATAGGCCCAAAAACCAGCTTTGCAGCACAAGAGGAATATTATGGGGGATGTACCCCATGGTTCTGACACTCACTGATGGTAGCACAGAGGCACCATCTAGAAGATTGCAGGTTAAATGAGCTTTGGACTAATTAATACAATGAGAATATACCTGTAGTGCCAGATCCAAACATGCGTTGTGAGCATAAGGGATCTCTTTTAGGATGTAATACATGCTTTGAATCAAAGGCTCAGATATGGTACTGTACCCTCTAACTCTGAGCTCATTGGGTCCTAGAGCTGGAAAATTCTAAGTTCTCAATGACCAGAGACCAAGAGTGGCTGACGTTTTGGCAGGGCAACTGGCCCTGGCCATTAGGAAGCGTGGGGCTGCTGTTACACACTGAGAGCAAAGGGGATGGATCTGCAGGAGGCTTCTGAATGGCAGTCTCCCATAGGGTATGAAGTGGTAAAACTGCCTGGTTAGCGGGGTCCACCTTGTTAGTACGGAGATGCCCTGAGAACAACCGAAGATCTGGAGCAGATATTTCCATCTGAGAACAGCACACTAGAGACGAGGGTATCAGCAGGTGGCTGCAGAGGTGGCCTAAGAGGTAAGAACTACTCCTGAGGTTGAGGTGGCTGTCCAGACTGAGACTCTGTGCTTAAGGAAGGAACGGCAACAGAAAAGTGACATGTGCCTAGAGTCTTCTGCATAAGCCTCTGAATCACTGGGGAAATTTCATAGAAGAGAGACTAGTAGATGAGATGGAGGTGTTGGCTTCCCACTTCTCACAGCTAGGAGACAGAAGGGTAAACACAAATCAGATCCACATTAATGAACCCTTCCTGGGACCCCCTAACCTAGGATCTATGAAAGGAGCCAGGTAACAAAGATGCCCCTCGGGTGTGATCTTCAAGACAAAGACAGGGAAAATCCAGGACCCCGGCCCCACCCACCCTGCAAGCAGGAAGAGGAAGGTGACCTGTGGGACGTGCTGGGGGACAAGTTCTTTTTGTTTTGTTTGATTTTTGAGACAAGGTTTCTCTGTGTAACCGCCCTGACTGTCCTGGAACTAGCTCTTTAGTACAGGCTGGCCTCGAACTCACAGAGATCCGTCCGTCTCTGCTGGGATTAAAGGAATGTGCTACTACCACCACTCAGCTGGGTGGCAGTTTTTAAGAATGGTTCAGTGTGAGAGACCATGGGAATCAGAGCTTATTCGGCACTAGAATTCCTGGAATCAGGGAAAAGCTTGAAAGAGTCTCTCAGGCTGGTTTGTAGGGGATGCAGACAGATGGGTTCAGTCTGAGTGCCATGGACACACAAGCTGAGCAATGTCACCACATATCCGCCCTTAAGACACAGATTGCAGAACCTGAGACACTCTGAGGGGGATCAGTCCCAATGGATTGACTTACCATTAGAGAGATTTGACCATCACCAATGGAGGTTTCCATGGAGATCACCAACTGGAGGACTATGGAGGAGGGACAGGTGCCACTGAGGGAAATGGGTGTGAGGAAAGCAGCGTTAGATGCCCAGTTGACTGGGTCTCATGGGATTGTTCACCAGCGACTTTAAAGGATGACTTGATTCAGTCATGACCTTGAGATGAACTTGGAGCCCTAGTGGCTTTCCTGAGCCCTTTGATGGAACAAGACCCATAGATATGAAGTAGGCAAGGCTTTGACAGATCTTAGTGACTTAAGCCAACATATCAAGAGTGTCCATCAAGTGAGAGAACAGCCAAGAGGAGCAAAGAGAAAGGTCTTTCTGGGCTACTCAAAGGCAATGTGCAAGAATTGCATCAAGTCTAAATTCTTTTTTTTTTTCATTTATTTATTTATTAAAGATTTCTACCTCCTCCCCGCCACCGCCTCCCATTTCCCTCCCCCTCCCCCTAATCAAGCCCCCCTCCCTCATCAGCCCGAAGAGCAATCAGGGTTCTCTGCCCTGTGGGAAGTCCAGGGACCACCCACCTCCATCCAGGTCTAGTAAGGTGAGCCCACATTGGAGCACCGGACAGAAATCTCAAGGTCCAAATCAGGAGCAGAAGGAGAGAGAGCACGAGCAAGGAACTCAGGACTGCGAGGGGTGCACCCACACACTGAGACAATGGGGATGTTCTATTGGGAACTCACCAAGGCCAGCTGGCCTGGGTCTGAAAAAGCATGGGATAAGTCTCAATTCTTGAAGAAAAAACAAAGTGGGGCTGGAGAGATGGCTCAGCGGTTAAGAGCATTGCCTGCTCTTCCGAAGGTCCTGAGTTCAATTCCCAGCAACCACATGGTGGCTCACAACCATCTGTAATGGGGTCTGGTACCCTCTTCTGGCCTTCAGGCATACATGCAGAAAGAATATTGTATACATAATAAATAAATAAATAAATAAATAAATAAATAAATAAATAAATAGAAAAAAAAACAAAATGACAGAAAGCCAAATTTGGTGCTAATGAACTTCTGGAAGTATTTAAAGCCAGAAAAAGTTTCTAGAAAGCATCCCTGTTCAAATAATGCAGGTGCAGAAGATCAAATCCACCCCTGGGGTGGGCAGTTATCTTCCCCCAAACTAAGCAGGGCACCTTTCTTTCTTGCCATGTATTAGGCTGTGCTAGGAATGAGACAGTTTGCCCAGCACAGGCTGCCTCCAGCAGCCAGGTATGGTGGATGAAGAGGCAACAACGGCAGCTACAACCACAGTGCTAACCGCTACGCTCTCTGATATAGGGAACCAGCCCAAGTAGCAGGTGCAAACACCAGGTGTTACTGTGGCGTTCTTGAAAGAATACACGATACTTGTAAGATACATGATACGCGTCAAGGTGCTTAGGGAAAGTCTGTAACAGTCTTGGTCTGTAAATGCTAAAGAGTGAACAAGAACCTTGTGGAAGTAGCAACAGGTGCTCCCGGAAGCACTAAGACTGTTAAGAATCCCCATGCTAGGGAGTGCTCACCTCCCTAGGAGTGGTGGCCACAGAGGACATAGAGACCCTTAAACAACAAAGTCTATTACAACTGCTGCTGGCTGCATACTAGAACTAAAGACAGGGAAATCATAGAGCTTTGGGTTCAGAATTCGGGGAAATAAAGCTAGGACTGGGCTGGACTTGTGTCTTCTAGGCCTACTATCCCTGTAGTGCTGCAGCGTGGCGCTAAGGATGCTGGAAGAATTAGGGCAGAGTCCTCCACCACTGTGGATCCTACATGATCCATGATGGAAGTGCAAGGCGAGGTGTGCCAGCTCGTGGAATATTGGCAGGAGTTGTTACGGATTGAACCAACTTAGACAGAGCATGTGACCAAGGAAGTCATAACTCATTGGAGATGCAACTGTTGTTGCTTTGTTAAATGATGTACCAGCTACAGTCATGGGCTATTACTGCAGTTCGTGTCCATTTTAGTTTCTTTCTTTCTTTCCTTTCCTTCCTTCCTTCCTTTCCTTTTTTTTTTTTTTTTTTTT